GTCTCATGGACCCTCCCTCTCACTCCTAGATGATGATAATCTTGGGAGTGATTTGCGCCATCATCCTCATCATCATCATCGGTGAGTGGGGCAGGAGTGGCCAGGGCCCTTTCCCGGGAGAGGTAGAGGCTTTCCCTGTGGATTCTGGGTTTTGAAGGTCATTAACCTAGTTTTTACTCTTCAACAAAAACACATTTTGCTGCTATTGGCAATTCTGATTCATCAAGAGCCAAAGCACTTGGCTCTTGTCTAGCCTTACTTTGCCTAGTTCTGGATAATTTCTGTTAAGATTTTGAAAATAGGAATACTGGGTGGGACCCCCGGCACTCTACTAAGAACCATTTGGGCCTCAGAGCCCAGTCTGGGCTACTAGAACTGGGGAGCAGGAGACAGTAAGGGTTGAGGGGCTCGGACACCACCAGGAAACCAACTATTTCACTATTTGAGCATTTGTAGTCACATGCCCAGTAGATTAAAAGTTTTGTGCCCCTTTGTCCTATCATGGAGTTTACAGGATCTTAATACCCACTTATCAAGTCCCTTTGCTATATAGATGAAGAAATGAGACAGAGAGGGGAAGGGATGTCAGACAGTGGGGGAGTGGGGAGGTTTGGAACAGGGCCAGGCCTGACACGCTGCTTTCTTTCTCTTTCTACCCCTCTCCCTCGTCCTCCTCTTACCCTCTCTCCACAGTTTACTTCAGCACTTAAATCCCTGAGGAGTCTGCCCTGCCTAAGAAGGGCCTCTCTCCCACCCCCCTCCGTTCCTCCACCTCTCAGCCATATCTTTCAGCCCCCCTCCCTTGGATCCGTGTGTGTGTGTGTCCGTGTGTGTGCCCCCTGTAAATAGCCAGCTGTTATTTATACATATATAATATTATATATATTTGGTCTGTTTGTAGTTTTATTACTAGAAGATTTTTTCCGGTTGTCCTTAACACCCCTTCCTGAGGTTCCCCTCACCTCTCTCTCTCTCATCCTCTGTCCCTTTTCCTCTTCTCCTGATAGCCCTAAGTCCCTTCATTTGCATCTGCTATGCAATAGCCCCTTTTCTTCCCTTGGATTTAACTGACCCTTCCCCTAGCTTCCCTAAACAATTCCTGACCCTCCCAAGACAAAAAGCAAACTCCACAGAAACAAACAAACACTCCTACCTGTCCAGGCTTCCCTAGGTTGCATCTTTGAATCCCTTGGAAAGCTCTGAGACTGGTCCCACTTGGTCCTAAGAATCCCAGAATCCCAAGGTTTTCTGGGAGCTTCCAATATATTAATTAGCTTATCACTTGCATAATGTCCTTTTAGTTTCCTTTCTGTTCCACCACTCTTTACTCTTCTGTTTTTCCTTTCTTTTCTGAAGAGTTAGTCTCCATTGGTCCTCTAATCACACTTCATTTGCACGACATTACCTGCAGGTGGTGGGGAGCCTGGGCTTTTGGGGAACCAGGCTCTGGGCCCCAGAATTGCCCCCTCCCAGCCCCTCTAGTCTAGTTTACCTCCTTTACCCCATTTTCCAAACCTGTTGTACCCTCCTCTCCCTCCCCCCAGCCGGTGTGTAAGTGTCTTGGAGTTCAGTGTGTCATGATGGACCAATAATTCTGCCACTCGGAGTCTCTCCCTACATTCCTGCTCCCCAGTTTTCATGGCAGGCACTCAACTGACATTCCCAGGGGGTCTCCCTCCCTCCCATCTGCCTGATTTGCCTCCTCCTCCCACCAGGAGAATTGGGGATTGACCACAATCTGATTCTTTGAGGAGGGGTGGCTCCAGTGTGTGTGTGTCATCACTGCCTTGGGGAGGAGTAGGACAAAATAGAATCCCCCCAATTCCTGCCTGAAACCTCTGGCCTCATCTTGCTAGAGGTCGGACTGAAAACTTTCCTCCCCAATCTGGGGAGGGGTGTTGCCCCCATCACTGCCCAGCTCCTTTGACTGCCCCCCTGTATTCAGGGCGGGGGTATTAGTCACTGCCAATATGTGTATGGGACTTGCTGGATGATGGGGATCCTGGCCTTTCTCCAGGGCTGTTGAGCCCAGAGAGAGAGGGGGAGAGAGAGAGAGAGAGTGCAAGCTATTCCCTTTTTGGGTGAAATGACAGAGGAAGGATCTGATCTTTTTAAATGGCACAGTTTTAGGGGTCTGAGGGTATACAGCTCCTTAACCTGCCACTGGGGTGGGGAGTATCCCCAGAGTCTTCCCCCAAAAGGTTTTCTGTGTGGAGGGGAACCAAGGAGATCTAAACTGTGGTGTGAAAGGGTAGGAGAGATGCTGGGGGTGGGGGTGCTTGTGTTCTAGACCCCCAATATTATCCCAGTGTCCCCTGCCTTCCTTCTTCCCCTACCCCATGCCCCCGATTCTGTGGCGCATCCAGATTGTGAAAATGTACAATAAACGTGTAATGAGTAACCAGGTGGTGTCTACAATCTCTTTCTTAACCAGTAGTAAGAGTATTGAATCTTCAGTTATAGTGGGGTGGTTGAAAAGATTCACTGGGAGGAGCTGGCCTGTTGCTGCACGCCCTGACCCCAATTGGACCCTTGCAAAGTGTGATTCACAAAGTGGCCATGTGGGGCACCAGGAGACAAGAATTGAAAGTATCACTAAAGAACATGGGATCTAAGCCAGGTGAACTGGAGTATGCTGCTACCATTGAATTCCTTTATCTCTTAAAATTTGCTCTGGTTACCCCTTAGGCTCTTTCATAGCCATCCACTCCTGGGCTACTTCTGTAGATGGCTTGATGAATGCATGAAAGGGTCACCCTTATGAGACAAAGCCAGCTGTGGCATAAAATGGCATACCTCCCTTGCACTCTTATGGGATTTTGTTTTAAGATTTATTTATTATGTATACACTGTTCTTCTGTTCTGTCTATATATAGGCCTGCTGGCCAGAAGAGGGCACCAGGTCTCATTACAGATGTTGTGAGCCACCGTGTGGTTGCTGGGAACTGAACTCAGGACCTCTGGAAGGGCAGTCAGTGCTCTTAACCTCTGAGCCATCTCTACAGCCTGTGGGATTGATACTTTAGCCCCTCTCTTGAACTCTCAAAGCACTGTCTCCATGTATACACTTTAGGGGCATCAAAGAGATGTAGCTGTATAGGAAAGAGGCAGTGTTTCTGGTTGTTCTCTATATTCAGGATATGAGGGACTAGTCACTGCCTGTGTGTGGGTACTTGGTGGATGATGGTGACTCTTGCCTCTTCAGGGCAGTTGAACCTAGAGAGAGAGAATTGAATGGCTAAGAACCACCACTAGGCTGACCGTTGGTGGCGCACGCCTTTAATCCCAGCACTCGGGAGGCAGAGGCAGGTGGATCTCTGTGAGTTCAAGACCAGCCTGGTCTACAAGAGCTAGTTCCAGGACAGCCTCCAAAAGCCACAGAGAAACCCTGTCTTGAAAAAACAAAACAAAAAAACCACCGCTAGAAGGCCATGTGTGGTGCACGCCTTTAATCAACCATGCAGGAGGCAGAGGCAGGCTGATTTCTGAGTTTGAGGCCAGCCTGATCAACATAATGAGACCCTGTCTAAATAAAATAAAATAACATTTGGGTTTTTTTTTTTGGGGGGGGGGCAGACAGGGTCTCAACTATGAAGCTCTGACTGTCCTGGAACTCATTATTAGACCAGGCTGCCCTTGATTTCAAGTGCCTCTCTGCCTCCCTCGAGCTTCGATTAAAGGCATGTGCTATAACAAACCTGACCAAGAAATAAGAACTATTAGAAGTACTTTTTCTTTTAAATTGGTTTTTCAAGACAAGGTTTTTCTGTGTAGCCCCTGGCTGTCATGGAACTTGCTCTGTAGACCAAGCTGGCCTTGAACTCAGAGATTTGCCTGCCTTTGCCTCCCAAGTGCTGGGATTAAAGGCATGTGCCACCACTGCCCGGTTTAGAGGTACTTTAAAAAATAGATTTTTTTTCCCCACCAGTGTTGGTGGTGCACCCCTTTAATCCCAGCACTCGGGAGGCAGAGGCAGGTGGATCTCTGTGAGTTCGAGACCAGCCTGGTCTACAAGAGCTAGTTCCAGGTCAGCCTCCAAAAGCCACAGAGAAACCCTGTCTTGAAAAAACAAACAAACAAAAAAAACCAAAAAAAAATTTTTTTTCAGGCCCTTTCATTGGACATTATTTTAGAGGTTCTAAGGTGCCCAGGTGTCTTGTATTTAGCAATACTCCACCGTAACTTCTATCTTTATGGGAGAGTTTAAATACGTTAGGCTTTTTGCATTTAATCCCTGAAATTACTTCTAGGCTTAAGGTTTCCATAGGCCTAAGACACCGACCTACCTTCACGGTGTCAGAGCTTTTAAATCAACATGTTAACATGGGAATTCTGACAGATTATGTAACCCCTGCATCTCAGTCTCTGTGAGGTTATGAGTAGTCATCAGGAGTCTGCAAGAAGCGTCTGATACAGAAAACAGGAGGCGACTGTCATTTTCACTATCATCGTCATGCAATCTAAAGACCTCTTCTTATGTTCAGATTTAAGCTTTGGGGATAATCGGAGACACAAAACTCGGGCACCAGGAGCCTCTTGTCTTGGCAGGGTCTCTACTAAGTATCCCCACTACGCCATAGCCTGTCACATCTACGCCTGCGTACAAGTCGCTCGGCAGGCCTGCGCAGACTCCACAGTCTTGGGTAAGTGTCGTCAAGGAAAATCCCCAGCTTCTCGGTAAACAAGTTGCCGCGTGAGCCGGCCCGCACGTGTTCCCTACATCTCCGAGACCTCTCAGCCTATGAGAAAGTTTTTAGGGCAGGGCTGGCATTTGCGTCACCGATTTAGGCAGGGCGGGGCTGTTTCCACAGCCAATAAAAGCTTTGGGAGTGGGCGAGAGGTGTGGCTTCCGGTCAGATGTCCAATCAACGCGCTGGGGCGCCCCCTCCCTCACGTGGCTCTATCACTACCGGTTGTCATGTTGCCCAATGGTAAGATGACTGCGCCCTGAAGTGCCAATGGTGGCTTTGCAGGGGCTTGTCGGCTGCACGCGGCGCGGGGCATGGGTTGGCGCCTGTAAGCCAATAAGCTTGGGAGGCGTGACAGAATGGGCAGTGGGAAGGCCTGGAGGAGCCTGTGGAGTAGCTTCCCAAGTAGTGAAGAAATTTGGATTCTGCGTGCGATCGGAACTGTGAGTAGCCCCCTACTCTGGGGCGGTCGAAATGGGTTTTTCCCGGGAGGATTGCTCGGCCAAAAGGGGTGTCAGTGGCGTGGTGTGTGTGTGTGTGCGTGATCATGCAAATGCGCGATGGTTGCAATAGGAGTGCTTGACGGTTGTGGACTGCAAACTCAGCTCTAGGGGAACATGGATGGGAGTTACTAGCATACATCTCTCAGCTCTCTAGGGTCCCTAGACCCTATTGCCTAGCCTAGAGTGCTCAGAAGCCCTCAGCCACCCGAGGGAGCTGAAGGGCCTGCGATAGGACGCCTGAGAGTTGGTTAAGGTTTGGGTAGGCTCCCTAAATACTTGGAGAGGCAGAGTCTGAGCCTGGAGAAAGGCCCTGGTAGGGCAGGTGGGAATGTGGGATGGTATTCTGAGAAAGGTTGGTGTGCTGATTTGTGTGACTCGGAAGCTATCTCATCACGACCATGGGTTACTTTTTCACGTGGAAAGGATAGCGTTGGGGTCTCAGGTACATGCTTGTAAACAGAAATGAGCTAGCGATTTATTGGATTCTGAAAGGGAGAATAGGGTAGAGGGTTTCTATATACCGGCTTGCCCACTCTTCTCGACTTGCCAGAGGTGAGGAGGCACCAAAAGGCTGCTCTGCTGTCTAGACAGGCCTGGTTGAGGTGGGAGAGGGAGGAAGTGAGGTTCCTACAGGTTCCTGTAATAGTGGCTGGAGACTTCTCGGATGATTTCAAGGCCTTTGAGCATAGTAAAAAAAATGAACGGTGGTGGTGTGTGTGGAGTACAAACAATGCCTTTAGATCATGCGGAAAGGAAGAAGGAACTGGATGAAGCTTGTATTCTAGGCACCAAACTTAGAACTAGGGAAATATGTGAGAAGTCCTGGTTTGACGGTGCTGGAATGCAGAGTAGAGGGTTAGTAACACTTTCAGAGGGTCCCTGAGGGTAAGAAGCCAGGACAAGACATCATCAGAGCTTGAACCTTGGGCTCCATTATTAAGAAGCTGAGAACATGTTTATGAAGCAGACAATTAAGGCAAGTTTAGTGACTACTAAGTCTTAGTTATCCCTCATGAAATAAGAGTGATAGCTACCTTCATTCAGTTGTTTTGGGGCTTAAAAAAACAGTATACATAAAATACGAAGCCCACGCTTGGGTCATTTAAAACACAAACTATAAGGTAACTAAGCAATAGTGATAGAGCTAACCCTCATCTTCTGTTTTTCTGCAAGTTTTGATGACTCCTCTTTTCCCTCTTCCTGATTTTTCTGGTCTGCAGGCACCAACCCAAATTCCATCATTCCTCCCCTGTATTCCTCTCCCAAGATCTGGGCTCCAGACTGAGGCTACTTGCACTGTCCCAGTTTGACTTCCTTATTCTAAATGCATTCTCCCCAACCCACCCCCATTCTGTGTTGTAATAGTAACTAGAAATTCCGCCTCTGAAGGGGGCCTCTGGGAAGGAGCAAAGGTGCGCGTTCCCTCTCTGAACCTGGGCCTCCGATTTACCCGCGGTGGCTCTTTGGTACCTGGCCAGCAGCTGTGTACAGTTTGGTGAAAGGGAAAAGCCAACGCCAGGAGCTGTAAGAACCAGCTGGGGGCCCACAAACGCCAAGTCCGGAAAAGAGAGCCAGGCATGGGGGTAGGGAAGGGGGACCCCTTTCTCCTAACCGTCTCTCCAGGAATCCCTGGCTTTTGTACAGGACGGCTGTCGTTGGGTTGGGGGAGGCGCCAAGTCTGAGTGCATGTCCTGGGCCACCAGCCAAGAGAACACGATGTTCCCTAGTGCGCTGGCCGCCGCCCTCTGGGGCTGGCTGCCTCCC